ATTCAAAACACGAGAATTATTGACTGAACATTTACCCACATTCAAGCACACACAGGACTCTTTAAAGCTATCTTAACTTCTTTAAAACCCTAATATGACCCATCTCACATGCAGATCCTGTTCTATGACTCGCCCTTCATGTCAATGTACCCCACAGTATCATGCAAATTCAAGATAAGGCTTACTACACCTATATATCCAACTTGTTCTTTGTAAGGAATCTTGACCCCCCCCCCTTCTATGCTTGACCCCACTGGGGTAATCATAGGTAGGGGGTCCCTATTGCCGACGTCATGTCACGTGACACCCCCGCGACAAATAAGGAAAATTTCACCTGATTGGCCCATGACCCCGAGACAGAAAGATAATTTTTCTACTCTGCTCCTGATTGGTCAAAAATCGCGCCCCGTTCTCACCGCTCACCTCTGACCATTACAGAAAATGGAGCTGTGCCCAAGGGCTCCCTGTACTATTCAGTCATAGCCTCATTAAAGTACTCCAAAAACTTCTATATTCGCTTTCAACTGTGTTTCTTGGTTTGAATCTATTGAACATTCACCCTCTGATCCATTCAAAAGTAAGGGCCCCCAAAATGATACCGTAGTACTCTCGTAACACCCCCGGGCCAAATCGTGAATTTTTGCTCATGCCATTAAAATACTCCAAAAACGTTTATATGCCTTTCACCAGTGTATTTTTTGGTTTTCATCTATTGAACATTCATCCTCGGTACCTCCCATAAGTAGGGGACCCCCTTCTTGATGCCTTAGACTCATCTTAAAAGCACGAGAAAAAACAGGTTAGGATAGGGCACCAGTTCCTCAGGTACATCCTGGGTGGTGGGCCCTTGGTACCCCTGGGGGGGAATGGACCACCACTCCACCCAGCCAGCCAGCCAGCCAGGTGCGCGCCCAGCGCGTCCTGACCCAACTGCTTGAAAAAGATTTTCACGATCTGGCCCCCGGGAGTCGAGTCGGCATGGAAGTGCCCAACCGTTTCTGAAAATCAATTCCCCATGTGTCTCCTTTTACACTACTAGGTTAGGTCGTCGAAAAACAATTAATTCATGAAAACTTGGCTTATTAATCAAATCGGGCCTTGCATAGTAGGCTGAGAAGTGCGTTCTGGCTACTAGGTACGATATATATATATATATATATATATATATATATATATATATATATATATATATATATATATATATATATATATATATATATATATATATATATATATATATATATTGTAGATTTTGCTGGTAAATTTCCTAAATTCGGGAGATCCATAAGCGGTTTTGTCTCGATGCAGAGACAGGTCTTGCATAATAGGAGATTCAAGGTTTTATGTCTCAGATGAATGAACTTCAACAGTAAACAGAGGCAGCAGAATCATCAGAAGATGATATATGGAGGTCAGGTGACGAATAATAAGCTACTGGAGAAGTTTGCATTGAATTAATTGAGATGTCATGCTGAGGTGTAGGAGTGGTGGATTCAGGAGACAGCGTGGCCAGTGCAGGTTGATGAGGGTGGTCGGCAGGGGACAGGAGATCAGCGAGTACAGTAGGGAGAGACGATGATGTAAGAAGCCGAGGAGGTAGTAGTAGCAGAGCAGACGTTGAAAACGTGAGGAGGTCCTCTGGAACAGTGAATTTTGGGAGGCCATTTGCGACATAGAGTTTGTTAAGAATTCGGATGAATTCCTTGTAGTTCGTGCCTGCCCTTATTTCAGTCAGACGTGTAAGTGCAAAGACGGTACTATGAACGGTGTTGGGGCTAACAACTGGTGTGGTGAAGGCTGGCTCGATGATTGGCTAGAGAGAGGTTGTGGTTGTGGCGGCTGGGTCGATGATTGGTTGGCGGACTGGGAGCTAGGCTCCCCATTGGATTTCAGGCTGCATAGTTTCTCCGGCACCACCCGGAACCTCTGGGAAGTTGGCGGTTTGTACTTTGAAAGTTCTTTGTGGACGGCGAGTCGTGTTGACATGCGTGGCGTCGGACATCTTTTTGATTGGTGGCTGTCATGTACAGGAAAGAACTTGACAGTGACAGCAGTTATGGAAGGGTTCTACTCGTTAAGGCTAGTGACGACGTCGATGGCAGCTTTTTCGGAGAGTAGGGAGCTCACTCTCCGAACAAACACTGTCCTGGCTGCGAGGTAGTGACGTGGTGGGTGTGAGGAACAGGTGCGCCTCCTCAAAAGCAGTGAACATGGTGGGGTCCAACAGACCATGTACGGCTGTGGCACTGCTGAACAGCAGTTGGAGTCCTCCATCATCGACGACGACGATGTCCAGTGGTGCAACAGGGTTTTTTGTAGAGATCAGGTTCACGAGTGCTGACCAGGTAAGGGTGCTGTTCCTTCTGAATCGCACCTTGATCCCGTAGATCATGGTACACAAGGCTTAGTCTCAGATGGTCGCTCTTTGCTTAGGAGGCCTTCCGTCTCTTCCCGGTATGTTGCACCAGGCTGGGAGTAGGATCTGACCTCCTAAAGTAAAGCGCTCTGTGTGCTCAAGACTGGAAAACCTACAAGAAGGAGGCCGGTAGATGGACGTCGTGTGAACTCCACCTTCGGGGTTCAAGGGTGAGTTTGTCCCTCCGTTCATGCATTGGCTTGGTTGTGCTGCAAAAGGAAACATGACACAGTGATATGCGAGTACCTGAAAAAAAGTAGATTGACTTTACTGGACGAGTGATTCCTTTCATACAAAAGGATATCATACGTTTGTGTATTATTTATTCAGGTGTAAGTGTGGACGCCGCAGGTAACAGTTCTATGTACCAGAGATGTGTAGTGCATTAAGACGTCAAGATGTGTGACGATCTGTGTAGCCGGGCCCAGACCCGGCTCACGAAACAATCACAAGAGCATAGCTTCATGCATACCAGTAGATGCTTCCTAACTTTTATATATATTAAAGTCACAAGTCTGGTGTTAAGTTTGGGAGTGAGTACACACAACCCTCGGACACCTCCACATGATTCCTGCTATGACGTTATACATCTCACAGTGAGACCAAGAGTTTATCCCAGGAGGCCTAGGTATGCTGGTCACAACGTGTTTAGTTAGGGGCTCCCAAGTCTTGGGGTGCATGTAATAAGATCATATTTACAAAGGACGCTGAGGAAGACTTTGGGATGAGGGTGGAGAACTGATGCTTCAGTATGAGTGTGGAGACCTCGCCTCCGCAGCCACGCTCGGGGAGCGCACATGGTTGATGTAAGGAAGAGAGTTACTCTGGCTCCATTGAAAATAAAAATAAACTGTTAGAAGCATTTTATTGACCCAGAGGCACATTTTGCAAGACAGCGGATCATTCACATCATTCCTCCTTGATGCCTTGACACTAAAAAATCCTGCTTCATGAAGAAAACATATACAATATATAGGACTGCAGGCAGATTTTGTTTAACACATTTAGCTACATCTGCATTTGTGCAGCTACCCTAGACTATATGGAGGGGAGTACAGTGTGTCAAAAAAGCTAGCTACGTGATGCTAAAAATCCCCATCACACAGGTGATTTACTGTATTTTTGTTTTTGTTTTATTAACACATTTAGGTACATCTGCATTAGTGCAGACTGCACTAGACTATATGAAGAGGAGTACAGTGTGTCAAAAAGCTAGCTACATGATGCTGAAATCCCCATCACACAGGATGGTTAGTCATACAGAGGCATGTGATCAGTAGTCTGCACTGGCAAACTCTGGGTGCATTATGAGGATATCATCATGAACACAAGAGTGAATAAGGTAGCAGTGGTACTGAGTCCCCATCTCGCAGGATGGTTAGTCATACACGGTCATATGTTCAGTAGCCTGCACTGACAAATTTTGGGTGCAATATGAGGATATCCTCAAGAACACAGGAGTGAATAAAGTAACTGCAAAGCTCCAGGTACCTCATGCCAGTGGGTTTGAATGGTCTGATAACTGGGCATTCGGTAATGTAGTGTGCAAGCTCATGCCTGAGTTAAAGTCTGCGGCACACTAAGCCAACTTACTATACTCGAGTGCTTAATATCATTACATGCATTCTATAATGTGCGGTAAACTTAATAATTACAATACAAAACTATTCAAATTATTAGAGAAACAATACAAAGTTGCCCAGCTTCACTGTCTCGGTGGTCGTTCACGCCACGAATGTCGTACTCCAGGGGCCAGATTCACGAAGCAGTTACGCAAGCATTTACGAACCTGCAGGCCATTTCTTAACCTTTGCAAGTTTTGTTTACAATTATTAAGCGGTTAATGAGCTCCGAAGCACCAGGAGGCTGTTTTTAGCAATATCAACAATTGATTGGAAAGTTTTCATGCTTGTAAACTGTTTAATAAATGTAACCAAAGCCGTCAAAGATTGAGATAAGATGTACACGTTCGTAACTTGCGTAACTGCTTCGTGACTCTTGTCCCAAGTCGGTGGTAGTCACTACAGGTCGTCCCAGGTCGATGGTAGGTACTCTTGGTTGTCCTAGGTCGGTGGTAGGTACTGCAGGTAGTCCCAGGTACTCCGAATTTTTATAGGTATTCCAGATCAATTGTAGGTACTTTGGTGGATGATAATCCTTCCATGTGGTACCCCAAGAGTGTGGCAGAAGATCCTAATCGTATTTGGTGGGTGGTAGGTACTGAAGGAGCATGATAATAATAGTCATGGTACATGGGCACTGGGCAGAATGGTACTCCAGGAAGAACCAAGTGAGTGGTGAGTTGGTGTGTGGAACTAGACGATGATAATGCCTACAGGTGGATGGTAGGCAATCCAGGTGGTCGTTGGGGTACCCTCAGGTAGATTAGAGGCACTTCAGTTAGCACCAGGTAGATAGGGGATGCAATAGTGGTTAGAAATTGGTGGGTATATGGTAGTGAAGGAGACACCAGATACGTGGAGAGCAAATGCAGCGGAGGAGAGGCCTACAGGAGAGCTGTGGCCAGTACAATATGTTGGAGGCAGTTCGTTTGTACTCCAGATGGTGCTAGGTGGATAATGTGTACTCCTGACACTATGTAGGTACTACAGGTAAGTGAGAGGTGCTCTCAGCTACTCCAAGAGTACTGGTCAATCCAGATGGGTGCTGGGTACCCCAAATGGTCAGTAATGGTTTCATTAGTGGAAGGGAGCGAGTAAATGGTTGGTTTTGTTAACACTTAGAGACTCCAAGTAGGTGGATGTTGTTGTAGGTGGACCCAAGTGGTCCACCTAGGCACTCGGGTCATACCAGGTGGGCAGGAGGTGGTCCAGGAAGTACCAGGTGAGTAAGTGCTCCAGGTGGTTATTACGTATTCCTCTGGATGGTCGATACCTCCAGGTGGCACCATGTGATTGATGGTTTCTCCAGATGGGAGAAGGTAGGGTTCCACTCTATATATGTGGTGGATACCTAAGGCAGTGCTAGGTGGATGGTGGGTACTCTAGATGGTACCACGGGGGCAGTAGGTACACAGGTGGTACCAGGTGAGTTTGGCATATTCCAAATGGGGGCAAGTTGGTATGTAGCAGGAGCTAAAGATGATACCAATTACGTAATGGGTACTTTGGTATCGGAGGAACGTCGAGCAGCCCAGAGTTATAGTGAGCAGATCAGGAGGTGGCAGGTAGGAAGGCAGACGATGTGCAGGTGGTGGAAGGCAGCACTAGAGGACGCTGGTGAATCGTATGAGAGTGATGATGCAGACGAGGAGGTAGAGAATAAGAGCGAGGCGGTCAAGGAGGGCAGCCAGTAGCAGCCACTGGTTAGCATGGCTGCCGTCCACACCCGTCGTCTCCCCGCTGCTGCCTTCCTCTCCCAGCTCCACCTCCTCACCCTTCGACCCGACCCGCCCACCTGACGGCTTCACGCTCCCGTCCACCTGTCAGGAGAGACACCCACTGTAAAATCCTGTCAAGCTGGGAAGTAAACCTCTTTCAAGCTGGGAAGTAAACCCCTTTCAAGCTGGGAAGTAAACCCCTTTCAAGCTGGGAAGTAAACCCCTTTCAAGCTTGGAAGTAAACCCCTTTCCAGCTTGAAAGTAAACCACTTTCCAGCTTGGAAGTAAACTCCTTTCAAGCTTGGAAGTAAACCCCTCTTCAAGCTGGGAAGTAAAGCAATTCAAGCTTGGAAGTAAACTCATGTAGTGCTTGGAAGTAAACTCATGTAATGCTTGAAAGTAAACCCTTTTCAAGCTTTGAAGTAAACCCCTTTCAAGCTTGGAAGTAACCTCCCTTTCAAGTTTGGAAGTAAACCCCTTCCTGCTGGAAGTAAACCTCTTCCAAACTGGGAAGTAAACTTATTTCAAGCTTGGAAGTAAACCCCCCTATCAAGCTTGGAAGTAAACCCTTTCAAGCTTGGAAGTAAACCCATTTCAAGCTTGACAATAAACCTCTTTCAATCTGGGAAATATAACACTTTTAAGCTGGGAAGTAAACCTCTTTCAAACTGGGAAGTAAACCTCTTTCAGCTGGGAAGTAAACCCCTTTCAAGCCGGGAAGTAAACTGTCAATCTGGAAAGCAAACGCCTGTCAAGCTGGGAAGTATACTCCTGTCAAGCTGTTGCCAGTGTTGCCTCAAGTGAAGGTGCTCCCCACCACTATTGCCAGAACGGTGTACTTGTGTTATCAGTACAGGTGCTATCTCAGCTGTCAGGAAGTGCACTCATATTATGGCTACAGTGTGCAGGCGAGGAGTCACAGTAACGTGGGTGAAATATGTTGACCAAACTACACACTAGAAAGTGAAGGGACGACGACGTTTCGGTCCGTCCTGGACCATTCTCAAGTCGACTGTAAATGGTCACAATCGACTTGAGAATGGTCCAGGACATTCACATTCGATGACGAAACGTCATCGTCCCTTCACTTTCTAGTGTGTGGTTTGATCAACATGGCTACGATAATTATCATGGGTGAGGGATAAGGAAGTAAACTTAGGTTACCATTACCCTTCAGTGAGGAAGTAAACTCACGTTGTTGGCATAGTTGGCGAGACAGAAGAGGTTGGAGAGGGCTGTGATGGGAGCCTTGATGACGCTGGGGAGTGGGTTGGGGTGTGGCGCCCGGGCCACCCTGGCCACCACCCCGGCCACCACCACACTCACCGCCACCACCACCAGCTGCTGACTCACCAGCTGCACTGTAACACCATGTAATGTTATTATTAATCCCACACTCCACCATAATGACCAAAACAAAGACCAGTAATCAAGAAACAGGTATATATATATTTATTGATGATCTCATAATATATACTTACATATAAGCTCAGTTTTCACCATTAAGTTGCATATGTAAAACGTATATCTTTCTCGTTGCAAAATGGTGCGTCGTAGAGAGAGCTATGTGGCAGGACTGACCACAACACGCAGTGCAGTCTTGCTAATAAAAATAGACTTGTGCTTGCAAGTTGCATAAACAAATGCAACTGGTGCTTGCAATACCCAAGCTCGTCACGTTTGTATTTGCTGCTCGAGGCCTGGTGAGAGGAAGTGTGAGCAGACTGTGAAGGATGAGGAGTATGGGCACTGATCTGGCTGGGTCCTCAGGGGTCTTGGGCTCCGAGGCCAGACAACAGTTACAGCACCAAGCCTCGCGAGGCGGCCCGCTGACTGCTGACCAAGCCACACCAAGCACCTATGAGTGGGGCGTGAGAGGGGGCGTGGGCCACCACATGAGAGGGACTTACCTGTGAGAGGGGGCGTGGGCTACCACATGAGGGACTTACCTATGAGTGGGGTGTGAGAGGGGGAGTGGGCCACCACATGAGAGGGACTTACCTATGAGTGGGGTGTGAGAGGGGGAGTGGGCCACCACATGAGAGGGGCTTACCTATGAGTGGGGGTGTGAAAGGGGGAGTGGGCCACCACATGAGAGGGACTTACCTATGAGTGGGGTGTGGGAGGGGGCGTGGGCCACCACATGAGAGGTGTAGGCCAAAAAGAGCATGTCCAAGATGAGACACAGGAATCCCACGGTGAGTTTCTCCCCGGCCCCTGGTGGGAGGAGGAACACCACCAGCGCCACCAACGACAGACCTGGGGGTGAGAGAGAGTCAGCACTGACTGTCGGAAAATCCGACACCATTTAATAATATTACATACAGGCAGATAATATTGCTGCATTGTATAAACAAGTTACCCATAGAAAATGTAACTTGTAATGGAATTTTCCGTCTATAGAAAATGGGATATCATTGCCACATACTATTATAAATTCACCAGCTATTCTGCTGGGAATTATTCTTAAATACATTAGTCTTTGGACTTTACCATCATAAAAACATCTCATTTAAATTAACTTAATTATCAATATTAAAATAGAGTAAATGTGACCCTTCTATCACTTACTGATATCTGGACAAAGTAAGCCAGGCGTCAGTAGTGAGGGAGTGGTCAGCCATTGTTATTGTTCTTAGACCAGAGGCGCACGGGAGCAAATTCGGCTCCTGCTAATTTCTCTTGGACGAAATGTTATGGAAACCAAAGGTCTTCTATCATCAACACGCTGTCATCAAATACAAGGAAAGTGTTGTGCCGAAACCCGTTTATCTCGACAGTCTCCGTGGTGTAGTGGTAAGACACTCGCCTGGCGTTCCGCGAGCGCTTTGTCATGGGTTCGTATCCTGGCCGGGGAGGATTTACTGGGCGCAATTCCTTAACTGTAGCCTCTGTTTAACGCAACAGTAAAATGTGTACTTCTCCCTGGTGAGGGCCCCTCACCAGGGAGGGACTACCTCACCCTACCTCACCCTGGTGAGGGACCCTACCCTGGTGAGGGACCCTACCCTGGTGAGGGGACCCTACCCTGGTGAGGGGACCCTACCCTGGTGAGGGGACCCTACCCTGGTGAGGGAACCCTACCCCTGGTGAGGGACCCTACCCTGGTACCACCACCAGTTCAGTCCACTACCACCAGCACCCACCTGCACCACCAGTACTGTCCCCCACCACCACCACCAGTACTGTCCCCCACCACCACCAGCACCCACCTGCACCACCAGTACTGTCCGCCACCACCACCACCAGTACTGTCCCCCACCACCACCACCAGTACTGTCCCCCACCACCACCCACCTGCACCACCAGTACTGTCCGCCACCACCAGGACCCACCTGCACCACTAATACTGCCCACTAGCTCCAGCACCCACCTGCAAGACTACTACTGTCCGCCACCACCACCCACCTACACCACCGTCCACCCCACTGTAACGTACTCTATAGTTACAGTTCGTGAATCTACCTGAGTGTGATAGAAGTAATCCCAGTTGACCTGATCTTTCCCACGGGAGTAAATTAACTGAGAGGTAGGAATAAAGTCACTTTCATTCACCAGTATGACTGGGAGTCCCAACACACACTCGGCCAACCGCGCTACACCCCGCACTTACACACGACAGGAACTTTGACGGTCCAGGTGTAGGCGGGAGCGTTGCGAGCCAGCTGGAGGGTAGAGACGACGCTGGTGTAGGCATCAGGGCAACACGGGTAAAACTTAGACTCCCTCGTCACCTCCCCGCTGGTCACCTCCCACTGCTTCACCATCTTGTTGCCGTCGTCAGTCTCCAGGTCGTCAGACACTACCTGCGGGAGGCCACACCCTTAGCATACACAGCTGGCAAATGTTGTCCAGGTAATACTTTCATAATTTGGTTCAAATATCACATTAATTAATTATTCTTCATGTTGTACCCCCCAAAGGCCAAGGTGCTTGCTACTTCTCAACCGCCACTCTGAGTGCCACTCTTTATGAGGTAACTTTGTGGCAATAGTTCCTTGAGTGCGTGAGGCAGCATGGCTGAGGACGCCCTCACAGTCTTAATGGGGCTTCCACCACTTATAATCACAAAATAATTGGAGGTGTTTAGGCAAACATTGGTAAAGTTTAAGTAAATAAAATTGATCTTAAAAATGTTTGAGGTAATATTATGAGATCTCAATATAAAATCTGTACATCTACCTACTCTTCATGACCAGCTGACTCATATTATCATGAGATACACGACCTGCTGACTCATATTATCATGAGATACAGGACCTGCTGACTCATTATCAGGAGATACACGACCAGCTGACTCATTATCAGGAGATACACGACCAGCTGACTCATTATCAGGAGATACACGACCAGCTGACTCATTATCAGGAGATACACGACCGACCAAAACATCTACAATTGTCACACGACTTGTCGATTAATCTACAAGAAGTATACCAAAAAGTTTAGAATCTGCAGAATTTTCGACTAACCTCAACCTTGGAATCCTCGATGACCAGGTCAATAATACGCTCGTGATGGACCCAGGAGCCGATCTTGAAGGAGCAGTTTTGTGTGTCGTGGGGCCAGTAGGTGAGGTCCATGGTGCAGGGGAAGTGGAAGGCTATTGGAGGCACGAACAACACCGTACCATTCTTGAACACTAAGATTAGCACGTTGGAGTCCATCACACTCTGGCCAGGGTCACCCCTGTCAACGGTCACCACACCCTGTTAGAGCTGCCAACGGACACAGATAACACCACGGTTTCCTATCGTGCCTTTACAATGTGAAGGTCACGGGGGGCCATAATAGCAGGCTATTGAAGGGGAACATTAAATGACAAAAGAGGTTAACACCTGCATGACATATATATAAAATATCAAGGTCACTACAGGTCAAGCAATGAGGTCATCCCGGAAACGCTGCATGACCGCTAGTGGCTGTACAAGAATTTAAGAACTCTTGTATATGTAAATAAATAAATAAATAAATAAATAAAAGCAATGATCATGGAATTATATGAAAGCTCATCATAAGCTTTGAAAGAGAATGAGAAATCATAATAATAATAATAAATAATAAATTTTTATTCAGGTAAGGTACATACAAGGTAAGATACAAACATTGATGGATTTATAGATAGGGCTAGTACATACAATGCCTAAAGCCACTATTACGCAAAGCGTTTCGGGCAGGAAAAACACTAAGACTAAAACTTAATACTAATTGAGATTAAAGTATAAATTGTGTTGAGAAAAAATAAGAAAAGAATGGAAAGAAGGGGGAGGGGAGAAACATGGCAGAAAAAACAAAAATACAATTTGGTCAACAAACAGCATTGTTTAAAATAGTAGATATGGGTTGACATTTACATTTTGGGGTGAGGTAGGTTACATTGAGTTAATAGGTAATACTTAGTTTTTATCTTAAACTGGTTGGGAGAGGTACAGTCTTTAACATAATTGGGAAGGTCATTCCACATTCGAGGTCCCTTGATTTGTAAAGCATTTCTAGTTTGACTAAGTCGTACTCTTGGAATATCATATAGGTATTTGTTTCTGGTGTGGTGCTCATGGGATCTGTTACAACCTTCCAGGAAGCTTTTGAGGTCAGGACTGACATTACAGTTCAGCATTTTATATATACAAAATACACATGAGAGGATGTGCAGGGACTTAATATCTAACATATTCAGAGATTTGAGTAAGGGTACCGAGTGATGTCTGGGGCCAGAGTGAGATATCGTCCTAATAGCAGCTCTGTGTTGAGTAATTAGAGTATGTAAATGATTTTGGTTAGTAGAACCCCAAGCACAAATACCATAGTTGAGATAAGGATAGATGAGAGAATAAGAGTGTCACCAGGGCAGGGCGAGGTACACAATATCTGATCTTAGAAAGAATGCCAACAGTTTTCGAAACTTTTTTTTATATATTTAGAATGTGTCCCTGGAAATACAGCTTGCGGTCAGTGAGAACGCCAAGGAACTTGCCATCTACTTTGTTACAAATTTGGGTATTGTTAATCCTGAGATTTATTTGATTTGAGGATTTATTGCCAAACAAAATATAGAAAGTTTTGTCAATATTGAGGGTGAGTTTGTTGGCAGTTAGCCAAAGATGGACTTTATTTAGCTCAGTATTCACTGTGACATTTAGAGCAAGGGGGTCAGGAATGGAGTAAATGAAGGTCGTATCGTCAGAAATAGAATTGGTTTGAGATGTTGGGAGGCATTTGGAAGGTCATTAATGTAGATGAGAAAGAGTAGAGGGCCAAGTATGCTGCCCTGGGGAACACCAATGTTGATGGGTAGGGTGGGAGAAATTGAATTATTTACAGAAACATACTGGAGAAAACAGAAACATACTTGACCACTCTGGGTCAAGGGTCACCAAAGCCCTTCATATTTAGTTATTCACAAAGTTCAAATTCAGATCACTAGCTAATACTATAATTGGAAATAGCCTTTCCCTAAGATACCTGTACAATTACCATCAGTTTATAAGAGTTCAGCCATCTGGGTTGTTCAGTACAACAGAGATTAGTTGTTCAATTTAAACCCTGCTTAGTAAACTCAGTAAACCTGGCGGAGAAATACCCCTCTAGCCTCAGTGGGGAGGAGAGCTAGGTAGTGAGTGTGGGGGCTCGGTCAGCAACTGGATAGGTTGTTCCACTCTCACCTCTCCAAAGAGATCAGCATTCCATCAGCTGGTTTCAGAGACAAGGTAAAGTTGCTAAGAGTTGTTATAGGTATATAGTTCATTTCGTGCCTCAATAGGGAATGTTAAAAGTTTTAGAAAGTCATGTTAAGGAGTGTTCAGTCAGGGAGTGATATTTATTAGTTGTTGTTTAGAATTGCATAAATAAATGATTAGATTGTTCTCTGTGTCTTATTATTTCCATGAATAATTTTGCATGTCCTTGTCACATGATCTCCACGAGTCAGAGTTTATTTGGGTCGCAAGCCTAGCAAAGTTAAGAGCTAAAATATATCCCCTTGTTTTCTGTAATTCCCACACTTAATGTAGATTCATCCCTCCTTTTCCAAGTAATTTGGGGATTAAGCCCCAAGGTTTTAATGATTGATTAACTGATCCAGACCCCGATTAATTGACGCTTCTGGTTAATGGTCTGGTGGTGGCAGCAGAAGGAGATCCTTGAGTTTGCTAAAAGTCTAGTATGACGTCACGGGGGCTGTAGAGTCTTAGCCGATCGAGCGGCTAAGACCACGTGGCGTGGGACTCTGTTAGAGTTAGCTCTGGGCTCCCTTGAAATTAAGTTGAAGCAAATATAACTACGGGCGGGTTAAGGACTAAGTAGAGCCAATACGCGTCCAATGTTACAGTCATGAGGCCACTGGAGGTCATGAGGCCACAGGAGGTCATGAGGCCACTGGAAGGTCATATAGTTACAATGCGTGACGTTACCATTACTATAGATAAGTTAGGCAGTACTTGAAAGATGTTGCCCTCACTGAAGACGACCGCAGGACGACTCACCCATTGTAGAGGGTCAGGTCTGGCTTCCATACCACTTGTGGGTCGATGGCCAGGTAGGTCAAGCCCTCCACGTCGTCCTCCCACCCCAGCCGCTCATCCCTCCACTTCTGCCAGGGGGAAGGGGTTGGTTAGGCAAGGTATACATGAGGAGGGGTGGCTTAGGGAAGGTAACCCAGTGGGGTGTGCTGGCTAAGGCAAGGTAACGCAAGGGGGAGGTGCTGGCTTAGGTAAGATATCCCAGGGAAAGGTGCTGGCTTAGGTAAGATAACCCAGAGGAAAGGTGCTGGCTTAGGTAAGATAACCCAGAGGAAAGGTGCTGGCTTAGGTAAGATAACCCAGAGGGAGGTGCTGGCTTAAGTAAGATAACCCAGAGGGAGGTGCTGGCTTAGGTAAGATAACCCAGGGGGAGCTGCTGGCTTAGGTAAGATAACCCAGGGGGGGGTGCTGGCTTATCAGGGTGGTGAGGGAGAGTGTGAGGTTGGTGTAGATAGTATGGAGGAGGGTGGGCATGTATAACATTATATTGCCTCATAACTGTTAACAAGATAACATTATAAAGAGCTATAAGATATGTACAATAACACTGGCGCAGAGCGGCACAGGTTGTGCACTGTTCCTGCCTCAAGTACTGGTCATAAACACACGGGTCAATACTCACACGGGTCAATACTCACACTGTTCCTGCCTCAAGTACAAGTCATAATCACACGGGTCAATACTCACACTGCTCCTGCCTCAAGTACTAGTCATAAACACACGGGTCAATACTCACACTGCTCCTGCCTCAAGTACTGGTCATAAACACACGGGTCAATACTCACACTGCTCCTGCCTCAAGTACTGGTCATAAACACACGGGTCAATACTCACACGGGTCAATACTCACACTGCTCCTGCCTCAAGTACAGGTCATAAACACACGGATCAATACTCATACGGGTCAATACTCATACGGGTCAATACTCACACTGCTCCTGCCTCAAGTACAGGTCATAAACACACGGGTCATTACTCATACGGGTCAATACTCACACTGCTCCTGCCTCAAGTACAGGTCATAAACACACGGGTCAATACTCACACTGTTCCTGCCTCAAGTACAGGTCATAAACACACGGGTCAATACTCACACTGTTCCTGCCTCAAGTACAGGTCATAAACACACGGGTCAATACTCACACTGCTCCTGCCTCAAGTACAGGTCATAATCACACGGGTCAATACTCACGATGCCAAACCAGGTGTGGACCTCCATCATGTTCTTCTCCTCCAGCTGTTGGTGAGAATATTACTGCGTTAGTGTTGATGCGGGGTGACACCTGAGGTGTTCCTGGGGTGTCACGTGACACCTTAGGTGTTCCTGGGGTGTCACGTGACACCTGAGGTGTTCACGGGTGCCACGTGACACCTTAGGTGTTCACGGGTGCCATGTGACACCTGAGGTGTTCACGGGGTGCCACGTGACACCTAAGGTGTTCACGGGTGCCATGTGACACCTGAGGTGTTCACGGGGTGCCACGTGACACCTGAGGTGTTCACGTGTGCCATGTGAGACCTGAGGTGTTCACGGGGTGTCACATGACACCTGTTTTCCTGGAGTGCCACGTGACACCTGAGGTGTTCACGGGGTGTCACATGACACCTGAGGTGTTCCTGGAGTGCCACGTGACACCTGAGGTGTTCACGGGGTATCACATGACACCTGAGGTGTTCTTGGCGTGCCACGTGACACCTGAGGTGTTCACGGTGTGTCACAAGACACCTGAGGTGTTCCTGGTGTGAAGGTGTTTATATATATATACTGTATATATATATATATATATATATATATATATATATATATATATATATATATATATATATATATATATATATATATATATATATAAATATGACCAAAAAAGTAAGATTAATAATTCTACCACAAATTTTCTCAATATTTCTTATGTTTCTTTTCACTGCCGATGGTAATTGAAAGATCAAATCTCCAAAATTCATTTTTATTTCTAGTCTGACGCGACACTTGAACGCGTTTCATAATAACTTATAACATTTTTAAAGTTACACACAACTATAATCTGCAAATACTAAACAGAGTTTAAACAGCTTTCATTTTATTCCTGCATTTGGGTGTGGTGATATGTTACAACAGTTTTGCATGAGGTGAAAACAAACTTTCAACACACGATAGAACACGAAACAATGGGTATAGTTAGAGGGATAGAAGCCCTAAACCAGAAAAAAAAAAAAAAAAAAAAAAAAAATATATATATATATATATATATATATATATATATATATATATATATATATATATATATATATATATATATATATATATATATATAATAATATATATATATATTCTAGGATATTATGGCTAAGTGTTATGCTTGACTTCCCGGTGGTGGGAGTAACTCATGTAATATGCCGTGCGTGTTAAGGTAATGTATACTTTACCCGAGCCCCAACGTCTCTCTACTGGCCTCCACGGGGGCAGGAAGCTGGCGGCTGTCAAAGGTCTCCCCGTTGTTTATAATGATTTTTCCAGCTGGAATTTGAACAGAAGTAACAAAAATACCAAGAAGTAATGTCTTGGTATTACGGCTTGGCCTGGTAGGCGGTTCCATGGGCTTATAACATATATGGGGTGAAAACGCATCTCCTGTACCGTTACTCCTTGTTTGTGTTACATCTGACCTATAGAAATTGTTGGACATGTCTGCCATTGATTGGAAATAGCACGTAAGACCTTGGATATCCATCGCCTGAACCCCAAAGGAGAAAGTGACACTTAGCTTTATGGAGAGTAAAACATTATATCTCACTTCTCCATCTTTCTTGTGTTTATTGTTTCGCTCTTCCTTCACATCTCTCACCAGGTTTCCAGCATATAAGCCATTTAGTTTAAATCAGTATCTCATCTCTATTTTTTGTTTACCTCCTGTCCCCATGGAGGGTACAGGGGGGATTGTGGCACTAAGGTAAATTCTCTATTAAAGATTTTTTAAATCAATTAAAAATATTATATATGCAGATATATAATAATATACTGAATTATACTTAGTTAAAATATTTTAAGTTTGGGTCCCCATAAATGATTAACGTTTTCTCTTCTAAATGAATCGTTGGGCACGTTTTCTTTATACTTTTATCGTTAACTAAAGTAAATGGATAATTCTATAGAACGACCTCACAACGTACATAAAACGGCAGTAAAATTAATAGTAGGATATCAACAGTGCTCCAAGAAGCTTAGCAACATCTGAAAAACACATTGAAGTAAGATGGCCATAACTGCAGCAAGTAAAGCAAGCGTGCAAGCTGCAACATAAGGGACCATCTGCATGTCACCGCCCATCACCACCACCCACCGCCCATCACCACCACCCACCGCCCATCACCACCACCCAAGCACCTGCACCAAGTCTAACTTTAAGAAGCAACACTTCACCACCACTCTCGCAGTCATCAGCAGGAGAAACCTTCAAGAACCACCAGCATATACGAATCTTCTTTAGAGAAACAGTCTCTATCTAGTCTAGTCTCCACGGAGTCTACAGTCTCCGTGGTATAGTGGTAAGACACTCGCCTGGCGTTCCGCGAGCGCTATGTCATGGGTTCGTATCCTGGGCGGATTTACTGGGCGCAATTCCTTAACTGTAGCCTCTGTTTAACTCAACAGTAAAATGGGTACTTGGTTGTAACAACGATTCTTCGCGGCGGGGATCGTATTCCAGGGACCTGCCCGAAACGCTACGCGTACTAGTGGCTCTACAAGAATGTAACAACTCTTGTATATATCTCAAAAAAAGAAAAAAAAGAAAGAAAGACTGGCAGAAGAGGGAGTTTGCAGGAAGGGGAACGGCCAGCCAGCAACAAACATCAGGGGACACGTACTACACTGTGGCACGCCCCCACCACCCTCAGCTGTAGACACAAAGGCTTTACAGTACTAAAGTTTACCAGCCACCCGCCTCTTATAATGACGCCCTTTACTAAATATAGCCAACGTCAGTGGCCAACAAGGAAGCCCCCTTTTCTACATTCCCCGCACAGTCCCTTTGGCGTAGTGCTAAGACTGGCGTTTCGCAAGCGCTTTTGCTTGGGTTCGCATCCTGGCCGGGAAGGATTTACTGGGCGCCAATCCTTATCTGTAACCTCTGTTTACCCAACAGTAAAATGGGTACCTGGTTGTTAAACGATTTGATGGATCGTATTCCGGGGATTATTGGGATTAAGGACTTTCCTGAAACACTATGCCTACTAGTGGCTGTACAAAAATGTAAGAACTCTTGTATATATAAAAAATTAAAATAAATAAAAGCATTAGATGGCATATGATCAGACTTTTTGTTTAACTCTTACGCAAGCTAAGAGATCTCCTGCAGCTCATTTGAAGCTTTCTGTTACTTGCTTTCCACAGAATGCAATAAGACAATCGGTTAAAAGCAGAGGACGGACAGTGAAGGATTCGAACCGGGTCTTCTCACTGAAGACGAGCGGACGAGGGTTATAATCACAACACAACAGGATGCACAAAATGTATTATATGACGTCTATGGATGGGATGGTTGTGATCCTCTAGAATGTTTTAGGTCTGAGATAATATTACATCACAAGAACTGAAGATTAATGTACAGAGTATATGTAAAGAAGAACTTGACGTCAAGCCCACTGACTACTAGTTAGTGTAAAGGTTGTACTGACCAGTTGTTAGTGTGAAGGTTATACTGACCAGTTCGAAGTGTGTAATCGTCATCATCCTGAGGGAGACGGTGGTGGGGCTTCCGGGAACCACCGACTTGTCGTAGTCCTGAAGAAGTCTCTTCCGCAGCTGCTGTTCTGCCTGCACCCTCCGCTGGTCGCCCGCGGCTGTTGGCACACGAGGGTGTTATACCAGACAGTTAGAGGTAGGCTGGGCATGGATAGTGTAGGGGAGGCACGGAGAGGGAAGAGGGACGGTAGAAGGGTGGGGGGCGGAGGGAAGAGGTTGGGACCTGGAGAGGTTGGGGGGACGGAGTGGGAATAAATAGTGACCTTGTCAACAGATCAGCAGAACAAGTACATTAGCATCAGTGAGTGTGTATATCTGACTAATTCACAGCATTTATCTATTCTGTGGACATCCATATATGTTGTCGGAAAACTCCACACCATTTAATAATATTACATGCAATAGGCAGATAATATTGCTGCTGTGTTGTATACATGCACAAGTTAACCCTTAGAAAATGTAGCTTGTAGTGGAATTTTCTGTCAATAGAAAACGGGATATCATTGCCATATAGTACTATAAATTCACCAGCTATTCTGTTGGGAATTATTCTTAAATACATTAGTCTTTGGACTTTTTACATCATAAAACATCTCATTTGAGTTAACTTAATTATCAGTATCAAAGTTCAGTAATGGTTGAAGAGAAAACGAACTCATACATAATGAAATGGGTAGCTTTATCATTTAATAAGAAAAAAAATTGAAAAATATATAAATTCAGGAAAACTTGGCTTATTAGGCAAATCTGACCTTGTATAGTAAGCTAGTAGGCCGAGTACATTCTGGCTTCTAGGTACAACATATATATATATATATATATATATATAATGTCGTACCTAGTAGCCAGAACGCACTTCTCAGCCTACTATGCAAGGCCCGATTTGCCTAATTCTCAGTTTTTCAGAAAATATATTATTACAAAGCACCGAAACAATTCTATGGCAAACACAACTAATATTTCAGACATGCTAAGATCACTGTATATATGCTAATATTTCTTAAAGTATTTCATTTGGGCCATCCTCGACCGGCCTATGACACTCCCCTTCACCGCAAGATTCATGTGTGAAAGTTGGCCTCCAGCCTCATACTGGCAGACAAACAAACAAACGAACATTGTCTCATATGACAGATGTTAATCGTCTTGTTTGAGGAGCTGTTCACTTGAGACAGTTAAGCAAGTCCCAGCAGTGTCTGGGTACAAGTGACAGGATGAACAACCCAGCGGGTTTTCTTCCTATTAGGGAGTGTTGTACATGCTGCTATGGCGGTGTGTCCACTCACAGGATGAGTGGCGCTGCCCAATACTGTCACTATGGCGGTGTGTCCACTCACAGGGTGAGTGGCGCTGCCCAATAAACTCGCCCATCGAGGCAAAATTTAAACGAAAAATTGTGTAAACAGATAAGGGAGAGAAGACAAGGAACTGAGAAGCGAGTCAAGTAGGCAAGGAGAGGGATAGTGGCACTCAACACAACGCTGCCTCTCTCCTTGTACAAACTCCCGCTCTTCGTCCTTGTCTCCCCCACCCCTCCCCTCTCGCCATCCACCTTGCTCTATCACTTGGACTCCACTACCCCCAGCTCCGAGCTCTCAAGGCTGTTGCAGGTTATCACTCAGGCTATGGTGCCAATGTCAGAATTGTCAAAATGATGTACTTTGCATACATCAGATCTTTAGTGGATTATGCTGCACCTCTGCTTGTTTTGATGCCTGAAAGAAAGCTTGGAGGGCTTGAAAAATTGCAAAACGAAGCCTTGAGGATAATCCTTGGGTGCCCTCGTACCACAAAGATACTTAATATGAGAAAGGAACTTAATATTCTGAGCGTTGTTGATCGTGTTACTGAAATTAACTGTCAAATTGGTATAAAAATGCTTAGGCTAACTCATCCTAATCCTTGCACAGAAGCCCTCCAGAATTTCTTTATTGAAGATCAGCATTGTTCCAAATGGATAACAAAAACTGGAACTCAACTCAGAATGTATCAGGTTCATGATTTGTACCAAGAGAAACAACAACGGCACTTTCCTGCACCGTGGGAGGTTACACCCTTTCCAGTTTTAATCCCTCCCTTTCCACCCAAGAAGCAAATTAGAGATCAGCCCAAGCTTCGTCTTGAGGCAAAGCTCAACGCCTTAAGCCATATTGATGCTCTGTCCACAGAGCATTCTCTCTCTCAAATTATATATACTGATGGTTCCCTACACCGCACCACGGGTGCAGCTGGAAGTGCAGTTGTCCTGACAATGGGCGATGGCCTATACTTTGAGTGGGGAGTCCGTATAAACAACTGGGCCTCTACCCTTCAGACTGAACTATTTGCCTTGATCCTTGCACTGAAATGTGTACAAGTCTCAAAACTTGATACATTAATTGTAAGTGACTCCTTATCATCCTTAAATGCTCTCAACTCTTTAAGACATAACTGTAACATGCTCGTGTCCGAAGCTAGACACAAATACAACAAAATTATTAAGGATGGTAACAGAGTCCATTTCATGTGGTCTCCATCTCATGTTGGCCTCCGAATGCATGATAGAGCTGATAAGTTAGCCAAAGAATCTGCCTTTAAAGGAGCCGTTGAGTGTAACCTTGGATTGTCAATGAGCAATCTGAGAGCAGCTGTACACCGAGAACTTCAACAAGATCTTGTAGATCTGAGGCAAAGTGAAATTGACACCAGTAATTCCATCTATCATCATACTATCATGCAAGAGGAGCCACACATCTATGGATCATCCAATAAAATCAGCAGACTTCTAGATGTTACTACTGCTCGGCTTAGACTCGGTTACAAGTATCTCTGGGAATTCTCATTATCTGCTGATGTAGACCTGACCAAATGTAAACTGTGTCAACAAAATTATTCGCACACCCTCCGTCACTATGTGATGGAGTGCGAAAAGATACGTGAATTTAGAGACAATTCTATAACCAATGTTCCGGCGATGTGTCAATATTTCATTCAAAATGATCTGCTACCAGAAATTTTAGCCAAATATCCCCAGTTTGCTAACTGTAGGTAGTAACTAAGTGATTGTAACCTATCCACCGCTGCCCACTGGATGGGGGGCGGTGTGCAGGACAAACATATAAATTTTGACACTAGCTCTCCACATATGTCAGTTGCTTAATTTAGAACCTGTACTTGAGGTCGATCTCGAACCCATTGTTGATGTGATGACTTATATTGAATTTTGTAACTAGCTCATCAAGATTGTAACTTGCTTAGCTAAATGAATTGTGGGGTTCAGTCCCTGAGCCCATTATGTGCCTCTGTAACCCTTTCCACTACCGCCCACAGGATGGGTATGGGGTGCATAATAAATGAACTAAACTAAAAAAAAACTAGCCTCACCCCTCCATCCCCAGCATCCCCTGCCTCTCCGCCCCCAGCATCCCCTGCCTCTCCACCCCACCAACCCCTGCCTCTCCACCCCCAGCAACCCCTGCCTCTCCACCCCCATCAACCCCTGCCTCTCCACCCCGATCAACCAGTGCCTCTGCGCCCCCATCAACCCGTGCCTCTGCGCCCCCCGCCTCCCCATCCCCAACAAGCGCCCCCCAGATGGCGGGTGGTGTCAACACACCACAGGATATAGGACGCCATTGTTACTTACGGATGATGCTCTACAGTCGGTGGTTGAGTCTGCGCCTCGGTCACATTGTTTGTTCCACCCGGGACGAGGCCTTTTGTTCCTCTTTTTTGTCAGTTCCGTGTTTTAGTTCCTGACGTGGTTTTGTACAGTTTGGGGGAGCAAGGTCAGGGATATGATGCTGGGGGACAAGGTTAGGGATATGATGCTGGGGGACAAGGTCAGGGATATGATGCTGGGGGACAAGGTCAGGGATATGATGCTGGGGGGACAAGGTCAGGGATATGATGCTGGGGACAAGGCCAGGGGTCTCATCGCCCACCATAATAGGGTGTTGTTAGAAGGGAATTATCATGGTTGTTGCTGTTTTAGATTCAGCAACTGGGAACAAAAAGTTCCAAGTAGCACGGGCTATGGCAAACCCGTAGTGGACTTACCTGGCACAGGAGCGGAGGTGTAACTGAAGTATCTGGGGAAAGCGCCTAGCCATTACGACTTATAGCACTTGGAAGGGGGTCAGGATAAGGATTTGGGATGGGACAAGTCGCATAGGGACACTGATTTTTATAATAAAAAATCAATGCAGGATTGTCTGCTATGACTTCGTTGTTTTGTCTCGTAACCTAAATAAAATAATGTGACAACATTTCCAGGAACTACTTGTGACAAAGACCGCGTCCCTCGTACTTACGGCGACCACACCAGGTTCCGCTGATGTAATTTACGGAAGCGGACCAATTATATTATTTCAGGTATACACCCAAGCTTGGGGACGTGAGAGAGGTCAATGGGAGATATGTATGGGGCCAGGAGGAGGAGTCAGGATGCAGCACTGTGCCGCCAAAGGTGGAGGGTTGAGGGGCGTGTCAACAGCACTTGTGGATCCGGACTCCCAGGCGGGTGATGGCGGACGCTGGGGTCAGAGAGAAGCGCCACAAACACCCATCGTAAGTCTTTTTGTTTGTCTTCAGCTACAGCTCTCCTCCTGTCATCTCAACCAACAGCTATAGTTACGACGCAGTTTGTGGCGTTTTGCGTCACTTGTTCTTGATGGTTCACATCCGCCTGCCGACTATTGTACCCGGGACGCTTTTCCGGAATGTACACAAACACTCATCTGGCTCACACAACCCATTAAGTTAACACTCTACATCCCTTTGTGCTCGAATTACACTTCGGTAGCTTAAGTTTTGTTTGATTATTGAAGCGTATATCAGTTTTCAGTGACAATAAGAACCATATCTTAGCTATTATTGACTTATAGAAGTTTATCTAAGCTTATGGTTACTTACAGAAGCTTGTCTAAGTCTTTGGTGGCTAGCAGAATGCATTTAAGTTTTTAAAACTTTTTTTGTTCTCGTAATTTCATATTATCGACTTCCTTGTGGTTACCTTTCATTGATTCCGGGGGACAAGGTCCCCGCGGCCCGGTCTCTGACCAGGCCGTCTGGTTAACCAAGCTGTTGGACGCGGCTGCTCGCAGCCTGACGTATGAATGCCCAGCCTATGACCTACATAATTAATGACAAATCAGATATTTAAGACTAAGCCAGTGAATTTCAATAACAAAAATCTAACCTATCTTTTTGCATGTTTTACGTGTTCCAATACTGTGTGCTCTCAGGTCGTTCACCCAGATGAAATGCATAAAAATATAGAATAGTAAATAATGAGGATAAAATCCTTACCTAACCTCATCTAGGAATTTACATTGATTGAAGTACAGACTTTACTGGGGCACTAAACTTTTGAGTAATATATTTACAGTACATATTACAGTGTGATAGAACCATTGCATTACTCAGTGTCAATAATGGAATATTTTAATATTAGGAAATAAAGGAAAGACATTAACGTTAAATACTGATATTTGTTCTGTGTGATATTTGACAGCAGGAGCGTTGAAAACGTTGTGTCGGTCCAGCAGTTAACAATGTTTATAACTTGACAATACTGTCAATATTGGAAGGCTTCATATTACTAGTATAATAAAATAGTACTGGTATAGAAGTTGTAAATCTTGGCTTGGTCTAAAATTTGCAACAGTACTTAAACAAATTAAGTCTTGAACCACGTTAAAATTTGTACCGTATGAAATATATAGGCCTAGATGAGGTTAGGTAATGATTGTATTTTACACTGATATGCGCTTTTCACCTGCGTTACCAATTTCAAATTATATTAGATAGCGAAATTGCGTTACCAATTTCAAATTATATTAGATAGCGAAAGTGTTAGGTTAAATTATTAATTTAAATTCATTGGTTTAGTCTTCAATATTTGATTAATTTAATCCGTAAGTCTAAAATTTATAAATAATTGTCAGCTTTTCTGGCCTGACTTACGTATACACTGGACTTCCATATGGCTTACGTAGAGCTACGAATACTTTGGTTGGATCTTCTTACGAAAATTGGCGTTCCTAGACTGTTTCTTAAATCCCGAAGGACCCGTGAAGAACGAGACAGAAGAAAACGTTTGTTAAAGGTGGCAGCAGGTGTCTCATTGACAGTCTTGGTGACTGCCTCAGTAACTGTCAGGGTAAGACAGGTGTCGCGCGGCATCTGTCATGCTACACGTGTTCTGTCACGGCGAGCTGGGTAAATCAGTGCCAGATGCGGGTGGAAGGGAAGCGATCAATTATGGTGTCATGAGTTATACGAGGGCGAGGGCGGCCTCCAGCGGCACCAACACTCCCCGGGCTCTTCTACTCATCCACCAAGCCCTCCCCACTCTTATTCCTTTCCATTATAATTATTCAAATCTCTCTGACTCTGGTTTTCGCCTGTTAGGTACTCTTTCACACATACATCACTTTTCTGGCTAATTATATAACAGCCTCTTGTGAAAAAATGGGTTAAAGACTTATCTGGCAGTCTCTGGGAATTCATTGTGTCCATCATTTTCTGTCTCTTGACGACTTCTGATAATTATGTTTTTTCTGTCTGATCACTGACTTTGACTTGAAACCATACTAGGCTTTTTAACATTGGTAAATAATCGCACGTCCCTTTGACGTGAAGGAACAGAAAGTGGTGTGTGGCCGTACTTGTGTCCGGGCTTCTTACTGCTGCTCGTAGCCTCATAACTGTGACTGTCTGGGATAATGGCCAGCAGCTGTTCCTAAGGTCTAGGTGTTGTCCTCAGTGGCTACACACAGATCATTATGAGATAAACTCAGCAAAGCTGGAAAATCTAGTGTATTCGTTTAATAAGTAATTATCAAAAGAAGGCACCAAGCCGAGGAGACTATGTGGCAACGTATGCCTTACATAGCGTAGAATAACACAGAACAATTTATAGTGGCTAGATCGCCACAACACAGCAAGAGATAACTCCCAATAAAATATTAACGATATAGGGAATAAAATCTTTTTCCCTGCATCCTAAACAGTATACTGCTAAGAATTCAAGTCTGAAAACACAATTGATCTTGAATTGCCCAAATAAAGTTTTGGCAAGACGTTAGTGAATGTGTATCAGAAAGAAGCTATTCTTGAAAGCTCAAGATTGCAACAAGGTGGATTACGGATAGACTTGCAAGGACCTCAACCCGTATATACACTGGGAACATAAAGTTTGTCAGGAGTGTTCAAGAAAGTTCGCTTTATACACGCACCTCAGTCACAGCTGTCATCAAACTTTATAGAAGTATTCTCCTATAATTTACCCACAAAATTGTGGCTATGAAAGGTAGGTAATAAATTACAAAACTCACTCACTCACTCACTCACTCACTCACTCACTCACTCACTCACTCACACACTCACACACTCACACACTCACACACTCTCTCTCTCTCTCTCTCTCTCTCTCTCTCTCTCTCTCTCTCTCTCTCTCTCTCTCTCTCTCTCTCTCTCTCTCTCTCTCTCTCTCTCTCTCTCTCTCCTTCCCTGCCTCACCATTGGTAGCCAGTAAGGTCATGCCGGCGGCCAACATCAACAACTTCACTGCCAGGGGTCCACAGATCATGTTGCTACGGTCGGTGTAGACTCTTGCACTAAAAGGCGTCTTCAGAGTCTTGATCCTGCAACATAATCACCCAAGAAAATTGATTAGGAGTTTTGCACAGTTTTACTAGAAAAGTTGTCAGGACAAACAGTGTAGTTTACGCCACTCAAGCGACTAAACAGAGAGCGCCTCACCACGCAGGACAATACAGTGAAAAACTTGGAGCCACACAACACAACTTGGCCAACGGTGCAGTGAAGTTTGGGACGGCTGCCGAACTGCTGGACTATGTTTGTGGACAGTCTTGGACCACCTCACAAGTCTCCCATGCCAAAATGACTCTTGGAGAGAAGTCTGACAAAGACTTGCCAACCATGTGGCTTCATGCCAACCATTAGAGTGTAGTGAATGGCGACCGGTCCACTGTTGCCAGCCTCCATGTGGGGAGCCGAGCCCCCTCCCCTCCGTCAGGAGTTCTGCTGAGAGGTGGACACGCTTCTTCGGTAACTGACAACGTTAAACGGCAGATCCGGTGCCAGATACACGCCCATCAGACAATAGAAGTCACACACACAGTGGACAATACAAGCTACACCCACAGCAGAAGATATTTATTTAATTATTTATTTATTTAAATACAAGAAGGTACTTTGGGTTTATGAGAGTACATAGCTTTGATGTTTTTACATTCTTGCAAAGCCACTAACATGCATAACGTTTTGTGCAGGTCCTTAATCTAACAGAGAATTTTAAGTAGGTAATTTGTAGCAAAATTTTAAGATTAATAACATGTACATTGTAGTAAAATTTAAGGATTATCAACAGGTTCAGTGTAGCTAATTTGAAAATTATTTATAGGTACATTGTAATAAAATTTGTGTTCAACATAACGACTATGATACAAGTTGATAGCAGTGATTACAATGGTGAAGTTATATGGCTTAGGCACATATATTGGGGGAGTGGGTAGCGCAAGATACAGTGCGAGTTTGAAGCACTAGGCAGGAAACTATGAGGATGAAATATCTTACCTTTGAGACCCAGCAAAAAACTACACAACAACGCTGGAAGGACTAGATAATATTTACATGACAATTCTGAAACACCTAACGGGAAATACTTGCAATGTCTTCCATTCATACATAACAAAATATTAGCACCGAAGGAACCCACAGCATTCATCATTCAGCTACTAATAAGAGATACGCATTGCCCTGGCAAGTGGCAAATGTAAATTCCTGACACCATTTATAAACATGCTACTACACGGCAGTGGAACAATCAAACAGGAATGCAAAACAAATGTGTCAAAACAAGCTCACGCATTTCTGTCCTTGGACTCATACTGGCAACAAGTTCACGAATTCAAACAAACTTGTTTTGAACTGTGTTTGGTTTATGCATCTCCCTTGGGACAATATTCTGAGTAACGTGCTGAGAGTGTTTAGGTATGTGTAAAACATTCCACAGCTGCCCCAGGGACAGTGTTGGCAGCACGTCCTCCTGACTACTTGCTTCACTAGAAACACAAGTATCGACAATGCAGAGAAATATCAAGTAGACTATTAAAATCTTCTGTTTCTGAATGTTTGGTGGGTAGCCTAAGTTCTGACGCTTCTAATTAAATTATATTTCTTATGAGTGACGGGTCTGGGTCTACCGGACCCGTCACACAGTACTGACCTCGACCCAACAGATCAGTCACACAGTACTGACCTCGACCCAACAGATCAGTCACACAGTACTGACCTCGACCCAACAGACCCGTCACACAGTACTGACCTCGACCCAACAGACCCGTCACACAGTACTGACCTCGACCCAACAGATCAGTCACACAGTACTGACCTCGACCCAACAGACCCGTCACACAGTACTGACCTCGACCCAACAGATCAGTCACACAGTACTGACCTCGACCCAACAGACCCGTCACACAGTACTGACCTCGACCCAACAGACCTGTCACACAGTACTGACCTCGACCCACCAGACCCGTCACACAGTACTGACCTCGACCCAACAGACCTGTCACACAGTACTGACCTCGACCCAACAGACCCGTCACACAGTACTGACCTCGACCCAACAGACCCGTCACACAGTACTGACCTCGACCCAACAGACCCGTCACACAGTACTGACCTCGACCCACCAGATCAGTCACACAGTACTGACCTCGACCCACCAGATCAGTCACACAGTACTGACCTCGACCCACCAGATCAGTCACACAGTACTGACCTCGACCCACCAGATCAGTCACACAGTACTGACCTCGACCCACCAGATCAGTCACACAGTACTGACCTCGACCCACCAGATCAGTCACACAGTACTGACCTCGACCCACCAGATCAGTCACACAGTACTGACCTCGACCCACCAGATCAGTCACACAGTACTGACCTCGACCCACCAGATCAGTCACACAGTACTGACCTCGACCCACCAGATCAGTCACACAGTACTGACCTCGACCCACCAGATCAGTCACACAGTACTGACCTCGACCCACCAGACCAGCCACACAGTACTGACCTCGACCCACCAGACAACAGTATAATTTAAGGCCAAATAATATAGGACAACATTAGTATAATAGATCACGAGAGTATAATTATAACACAAGATAACAATAATATAACATTACAACACACACCACCACTGACCAGGAAGCAAGAGGATGCGTGCTACTGTTGAGATGAGCCACGGAGCACTGCCCGTGTGTGTGTTGGGGTGCTGCCCGGCTCTCTTTCGGACCCACGCTCTGTCCTCTTCATGCCCACGCTCCCGTTCTCTGCCCTATTCATACCCACGCTCCCGTTCTCTACTCTCTTCATGCCCACGCTCCCGTTCTCTACTCTCTTCATGCCCACGCTCCCGTTCTCTATTCTCTTCATGCCCACGCACCCGATCTCTGCCCGCTTCATGCCCACGCTTCCGTTCTCTGTCCTCTTCATGCCCATACACCCGTTCTCTGCCCGCTTCATGCCCACGTACCCGTTCCCTGTCCTTTTCATCCCCACACATCACCGTTCCCTGTCCTCTTCATGCCCACACACCTGTTCCCTGTCCTCTTCATGCTCACACGCCACCGTTCTCTGTCCTCTTCATGCTCACACCACCGTTCTATGTATTCTTCATGCCCACACCACCGTTCTCTGTCTTCTTCATGCCCACACCTACGTTCTCTGCCCTCTTCATGCTCACACACCCTTTCTCTGTCCTCTTCATGCCCACACCACCGTTCTCTGTCCTCTTCATGCCCACAGCACCGTTCTGGTTGATACCTGCTTGATGGGGTTCTGGGAGTTCTTCTACTCCCCAAGCCCGGCCCAAAGCCAGACATGACTTGAGAATTTGGTCCACCAGGCTGTTGCTTGGAGCGGCCCGCAGGCCCACATATCCACCACAGCCTGGTTGGTCCGGCACTCCTTGAAGGAAACAATCTAGTTTCCTCTTGAAAATGTCCACGGTTGTTCCGGCAATATTTCTTATGCTCGCTGGGAGGACGTTGAACAACCGTGGACCTCTGATGTTCATACAGTGTTGTCTGATTGTGCCTATGGCACCTCTGCTCTTCACTGGTTCTATTCTGCATTTTCTTCCATGTCGATCACTCCAGTACGTTGTTATTTTACTGTGTAGATTTGGGACCTGTCCCTCCAGTATTTTCCATGTGTATATTATTTAGTATCTCTCTCGTCTCCTTTCTAGTGAGTTCATTTGGAGAGCTTTGAGACCATCCCAATAATTTAGGTGCTTTATCTCGTCTATGCATGCCGTATATGTTCTCTGTATTCCCTCAATTTCAGCAATCTCTCCTGCTCTGAAGGGGGAAGTGAGTACTGAGCAGTACCCAAGACGGGACAACACAAGTGATTTGAAGAGTACAACCATTGTGATGAGATCTCTGGACTTGAAGGTTCTCGTAATCCATCCTATCATTTTTCTGGCTGACGCAATACTTGCTTGGTTATGCTCCCTAAACGTTAGGTCGTCGGACATCATTATTCCCAAATCCTTGACATGCTGTTTTCCTACTATGGGCAGATTCGATTGTGTTTTGTACCCTGTATTATGTTTAAGATCCTCATTTTTTCCGCATCTGAGTACCTGGAATTTATCACCGTTAAACATCATGTTATTTTCTGCTGCCCAACAGCCCGTCCTCACACAACTCGTCCTCACACTGCCCGTCCTCACACTGCCCGTCCTCACACTGCCCGTCCTCACACTGCCCGTCCTCACACTGCCCGTCCTCACACTGCCCGTCCTCACACTGCCCGTCCTCACACTGCCCGTCCTCACACTGCCCGTCCTCACACAGCCCGTCCTCACACAACCCGTCCTCACACAACCCGTCCTCACACTAGGCTGATTAAAGCAGCGGCCGTCTTCCCCAGACGCATTCATCAATGTTACATACTTTATTTTAAACATTGGTTGGTTCTAATATATATATTAATATTCTCATACATAAATGTTCTATATATAATTAGGCGTAGGTTAGGTTAGGTGGTTTAGGTTCTGTTGACGATTATTTGTATTTCAACCCGTCCTCGACTCAAGTCCATTACATTCAGCGGTCAACCCCACAGACGCATTCATAAATTTCATAAATTTTCGCATTCATAAATTCGCATTCATAAATTTTAACATGCTGTTCATTCAAAACGGGAATTTTCTCAAGTATAAATTAATATTATGTTATATTAGCATATTGTGTATATATAGGCATAGGATAGGTTAAGTTAGGTGTTTAGGTTCTGTTTGCGATTATTTGTATTTGTAGTACGTGGGTGAAGCATTTATAGCGTTGTGATTCGAACAAAATTCGTCAGTGAAGCACTTGTTCCGGATATGTTCGAACGTCGGCAGTTGTGAGTCGTGTGTAAACGGCTTTTCATTCATAAACAGCGGGGGTTGGCGGCTGGATTAACAAGGTTGGATCTTTATATGGGATGACGGGCTGCTCAAAGTGGGGTCGTTAGCGCGAGCATTCGAACCTTGAAATGAAGCCCTGAGCCTTCTTACTTCTGTGTGCAGCCCGCAGCCCGTCCTCCAAACAAAGATCCAAAAGTGATTCCATGCACCCGCCAACCCCCGCTGTTTATGAATGAAAAGCCGTTTACACACGACTCACAACTGCCGACGTTCGAACATATCCGGAACAAGTGCTTCACTGACGAATTTTGTTCGAATCACAACGCTATAAATGCTTCACCCACGTACTACAAATACAAATAATCGCCAACAGAACCTAAACACCTAACCTAACCTATGCCTATATATGCACAATATGCTAATATATTATAATATTAATTTGTACTTGAGAAAATTCCCGTTTTGAATGAACAGCATATTAAAAATTATGAATGCGTCTGTAGGGTTGACAGCTGAATGTAATGGACTTAACTCGAGGACGAGTTGCACCTGTAAATACTTCACCCAATAATTTCCAACACTACTTAAACACCATACCCTAACCTAACCCAGACTTAACCATACACCAAGTGTTAATATATAACAATATAAATTTATATATGAGAAAACGTCGTTTTTTGAGTACTCAGATACGGTAAAAATAATATATGAGCCTTTTGGGTGGGCAGCCCCCACCTTGAGCCACCACTGCCTGGGAGCGGCTCGTCAGACCAGCGAGTCGTCATATATGGTTAGCTATGTGCTGTGGTGCGTGTGACGGAAATACGGGAAGTTTATTTGAAAAATTTCACAACTTCTGACGGATATAAGAAACTAGTGTTTACGTGAAAGTGATTTACTGGGACTGGATGTTGTAAAGTTAATGCCTGTGTGTGTATAGTACAAATATAATGTTTTAAAGGGTGCAAGTACCCTAATTATTAGATCCTTGTCTGGCAACGTCCTAAAAGTGTACTGAAGTTATCATTGAGTTGTGTACGAGACACCAGGGCAGAAGACGCCGCTACTGCTGTTTGTGGCCAAGTGTTGACTCGGGATAGTGTAGTGATGTTTGGGAAATATTAGACGAGGTTAAAACTTAACTGCTGATGGAAAACTAAGTGCGCGTTGGTGCTTCTAATTCTTCGTGCAGTGTTCCTAGTCTTGTGGCGAAATATTACAGTCTTCCTAAATGTGTTTGCAAGCGTGACGTCAGCAGTGTTGCGTCAGCCACTGGGCCCCGCCTCACCTCCCTAGACGAGGTACACCAGCGCTCTCCTCCTACAAGACAAGGTTAGTAACACCTCGATGCTCAAGCGTCACATTTACCTGCGTGCCTTACATATATATATATATATATATATATATATATATATATATATATATATATATATGAATAGTAGTTCACGCTGTATATGAGTATTTTAATTGTATTATATTTGGATTTCATATATATGTAAATTCCAAAATAACATAAATAATTAGTTTTCGTGCTATTTCAGGTAAGTCCTTTTTAGCTCATCGTGTGACAGGAATCCACCAATTTTTAAGGTACGTAACAATTTCCTTCTGTTTCCATTGTTGCCATATTATGACGTCTAGTAATTAATCGCAACTTAAGAAATGTTGGATAACAAAGTCACTTCATACACGAAGTATTTTCAGTTTAAAAGTATATTGGCTAGAATTAGGGAGTTACTATGTCGTCGAGGAGGACCTTCCGGGTGACATGGTAAGCAGGGACACAATGTCTGGTCACTAGGATAAGTGGAAGCTGGGTTTATCCGGAGAAAGTGGTCACCAAGCGTCGATTGTCTTGACTCATAGTTGTAAGGGGGTAAAAACGGGCCCCGGGTGAACAATTCCTGGGGGTACAGTCCTTCTGTGTACCAAGTGTGTTCGGGCGCACTTGCCGGCCGAAGTATGTCTTGTAAGTGTTGTCAAGCTGCCTAGCGAGCCGGAGGTGAGCTGGCCGGTCAGTTTTCGTGGAGGACTGAGCCGGATGTCACTGTAGACGGGTCAAGTGAAGGGAGGTCCAACACAGACAACAAGGATGTCTGTTGACAACCACCTATTGACCGACCACCTGTTAATGTGTTTGCTCTGTCGGGTATATGAACTAGTGGCAAACTAGTGACTTTGTTATAAGCTTATAAGTAAACAACTGTAAACGTGTTCACCAGAGACACATAATGTGGGTCAATGGACAAATTCAGATAATTGTGTAACATAAAATGGGCGGCAGTTATATACACTGATGGGAATGTTGCAGACTGCAACGCACTCTAGGGGTCCCAGTGTCTGCAGGGGCCGATAGTGTAGCAGTAATCAACTGCATTTATGCCGTTTGAGGCCGGACTCGTCCTAAACATTGGGTAGTAATGAGGGTGTTATGGTGACTCTTCTGGTGAGTGTAGTGACGGGTGAGGGTGTCGGTGAACCTGTATACGTCAATTAGCAATGGAAAATTGCTTGATAAAGACCGGGCTTCGTTGTAGGGTTCGGCCAGGGACCTCATACACTGAGACTCGCGGATGGAGTAGGTAAGAGTGGAGTCAAAACACGATCGAGAAATGGGCAAAATTTTCAACCTTTGGGCAGGATCAAGAGAGAGAAAAGGAGACCGCCGGGTAGAAAGAGTAATATAATTGGAGGTTTTGAGGTTAATACATGAAACGACAGACAAATACTTCGGGATCCAGCATAAGATGAAAATCGGAAGATTCTAAGATAAAGGATGATCAAAAAGGGTTCTTAAAGGAGAGCTATAGACAGCCGAGGGCGAGTGAGGGTGAGAGTAGAGTTCTTCCAGTTTTCGATCCGGTAAAAGCGACATTTTTGTTTCATTTCAAGACTGTGGTGGAGCTACGAGGATCACACAATAAACGGCGGGTGAGACGATTGCTAGAAAGTTTACCGAGAAAGCGAGAGGAGTTTACTTAACCTCGTCATATGAGGAATGTAGAGTTTACAAGTGTTTAAGTCACAGGGTGTTACGGGCTTCCCAGCGAACATCATAGATTTTTACATTGACTTCATTCATTGGTGAAGATTAAGCCACCCAAGAGGTGGCACGGGCATGAAATAAGTATCGGATACAGCGTTGACTTGTGTATCCGGGCTGGTAGTGAGGAGGACGGGTCTTAGCAGACAGCGCAAGGCAGAATAGATGAAGAATTTGCACCAACTGAAGTTATGGATAAATTGTAGGACGTTCCAGAAGTAGTTGGACCTGGGGATCCGAAACCAGTTGAACGATAGAAAGCGCCAGACCTTGTTGGGAATGACAACGATAGAATGACTAAAAGACCTAGATTTGAAATTGATGGAGTGATGAGGCGCCAGTCTCTCAAGACTCATCAATCATACCCAGTGGAGCTGTGATGGTACTGATTTAGCCCTTGCAACAATTGCAATAACTTACAGCTGGTTGGAGAGTCGCCGGATGTAATACTGGGCCGTCAGGTGTCACTATGAAGGCACGGAACTATCAGGAGAAAGCGTCAAGCCATTACGACCATATAACACTTGAAAGGGACGATGATAAGCGTTCAATTAGCCAGGGAAATCTTCATTGTGTTTGTGAGGTCTCACACACACACACACACACACACACACACACACACACACACACACACACACACACACACACACACACACACACACACACACACACACACACACCGCAGTAAACTGTTCGCTCAGGTTTTACTCAGAGGTACTAGAACCGTGATACTACCGTGTTATATAGTTTAGTGACTGAAACACAAAGGTTTTATTAGTGCCCAGTATAAACTGAATTTAATTTAAGTGGAAGCTATTTAGCGATTACGACTTTACAAAATGTGAATCTATACGAAGAGCACTACACGTGGGCCCACCATGTCCCCCCAGGAATTGACTCTTCTGACCATCCCTCTTAATTAAATTATGAAGGTTAGAAAGACACAGTAATCTCGTAACAAGAGCAAGGCAAATGGTTGATGATGACAGGAATAGGGAACCCAGAGAATAGCCCCACTCTCAATGAGCCCCCCATGGGAAATAGCAGAAAACGGAAAGGCAAATAAACGAGAGAGAACCGAAGAAATGTCCTAAGGAATCAATTGAGAATCCATATTGAACCCAAGAGCAGCCCCCAAATCAATTCCAAGGACCATCTTCAAAAGCAAAAAAAGACAGCGGATGGTCCCACTTACGCCTACGTTGCCACCCTGGGAAAAGACTGCCCAGGGTCAGAACTCTGAGCCAAACCTGACACTGTAGGCAGATGTAGCATATCCACAACCCAGACATAATTGCCAATCTCAGGAATACGGAAAACTTAGTTGAACTAAAACCGGAGGTAAAACTCTCCAAGATGATTGTTTAACATTTCCCAGTTCAAGTCAATACAAACAGGCTCTTAGAATGTACCCCAGTGTCATAACAGCCCAAAGGTGTAGCACGACAACGTCAAAACAAGACAGGTGCTTGTAACAATAAAAGGACCTCGCATCAACACACTGAATGTTGGGATCTATACAGACAAATCAGGCTAAGACTATACAATCCAGAGCCCGTGTGTTGTTACAGATGTCATCTCTTCGGCCACCATGGGTGCCGTCTTCCCAGCACTCTTTGTCATATACCGCTTTGAAACTACTGACGGTCTTGGCCTCCACCACCTTCTCACCTAACTTGTTCCAACCGTCTACCACTCTGTTTGCGAAAGTGAATTTTCTCATATTTCTTAGGCATCTGTGTTTAGCTAGTTTAAATCTATGACCTCTTCTTCTTCTATCTTCTAGTTTTGGCATATTTAATGCCTCTAACCTCTCCTCGTAGCTCTTGCCCCTTCAGTTCTGGGAGCCACTTAGTAGCATGTCTTTGCACCTTTTCCAGTTTGTTGATGTGCTTCTTAAGATATGGGCACCACACAACCGCTGCATATTCTAGCTTTGGTCTAACAAAAGTCGTGAACAATTTCTTTAGTATATCGCCATCCATGTATTTAAAAGCAATTCTGAACTTAGAAAGCGTGGCATAGGCTCCTCGCACAATATTCTTTATGTGGTCCTCAGGTGATAGTTTTCTATCTAGAACCACCCCTAGATCTCTTTCTTTATCAGAATTCTTTAAAGATTTCCCACGTAATATATAGGTTGTGTGAGGTCTATGTTCACCTATTCCACATTCCATAACATGGCATTTATTCACATTAAATTCCATTTGCCAAGTGGTGCTCTATATACTTATTTTGTCCAGGTCATCTTGAAGGGCATGACAATCATCTAAGTTTCTTATCCTTCCTATTATCTTAACATCATCAGCAAACATGTTCATATAATTCTGTATACCAACTGGTAGATCATTTATGTAGACAATAAACATCACTGGTGCAAGAACTGAACCCTGTGGTACTCCACTTGTGACATTTCTCCAGTCCGATACATTGCCTCGGATCACTGCCCTCATTTTTCTATCAGTCAGCAAATTTTTCATCCAGCTTTAGAAGCTTACCTGTCACCCCTCCAATATTTTCCAGTTTCCAGAACAACCTCTTATGTGGAACTCTGTCGAAAGCCTTTTTTAGGTCTAGATAGATGCAGTCAACCCAACCGTCTCTTTCCTGTAATATCTCTGTTGCTCGATCATAGAAACTGAGTAAATTCGATACACAGGATCTTCCAGATCGAAAACCATACTGTTTGTCTGATATTATATAATTTCTCTCCAGGTGTTCTACCCATTTAGTTTTAATTATTTTTTCCAATATTTTGACTATTACACTTGTCAATGATACCGGTCTATAATTGAGGGGGTCTTCCCTTCTTCCACTTTTGTAGATTGGAACTATGTTAGCCTTTTTCCACACATCAGCTACAACTCCTGTAAACAGGGATGCTTGAAAAATCAGTTAAAGTGGAATACTGAGCTCAGGTGCACATTCTCTCAGAACCCATGGTGAAACTCCATCTGGACCAACTGCTTTGTTCTTATTTAGATCCTTGAGCATTTTTTCCACTTCGTCTCTAGACACCTCTATGTGCTCTATGTTGTTCTCTAGAATTCTTATTGTATCTGGTTCCCTGAAGATTTCATTTTGTACAAACACACTTTGGAACTTTTCCTTTAATGTTTCACACATTTCCTTTTCATTTTCCGTGAATCTATTTCCCATTTTCAACCTCTGAATATTATCCTTTACCTGCATTTTGTTGTTTATGAATTTATAGAATTGACCCGGTTCTGTTTTACATTTATCTGCAATCCCTTTTCAAAATTTCTTTCTGCCTCTCTCCTCACTGCCGTGTAGTTATTTCTCGCATCTTTGTATCGCTGGTATGTTTGGGGGTTTAGCCTCTTCCTGTATTGATTCCATTTTTGTGTCTTTTGGTCTCCGGCCCTCTCGCAATTTCTGTTGAACCAATCCTGTTTCCTAGTTCTGCATCTCTGTTTTGGTATAAATTTTTTTGTGCCTTTATCATATATTTCACAAAACTTGACATACATATCATTCACTTCCTTGCCTAGCAACAAGGCTATCCAATTATACTCACTAAAAAAATTTCTAAGGTTGCCATAATGTCTTCTCCTAAAGTCAGGTTTTTCAATTTCATCAACCTTCATATTTTCTTCCAGATTATAACGCATTGCATACTTTATTCCCAAAAAGACATGGTTACTTTTACCCAAGGGAGGAAGGTACTGAATGTCAAATATTTCTTCCTCCTTCCTGGTAAATACAGTACCAAATCTAGCATGGAGGGAACGTCCCCTTCCCCATCCTCGTAGCTTGTTTAAAATGTTGATACAAGAATGTTTCCAGAATGAGGTTTACAAATTTACAGGTCTAAAAATCTTCTGTTTTAGCTTCATATACTTCCTAGTCTATGAATTTCAAGTTGAAGTCGCCGACTATCAACAGTCGTGAACTATCGTTATCCGCTTTCGCTATGATCTCTCTCATTATTGTTATAAGACCTTCTCGTTTACTATCTAGCTCCTCCTTTGACCATGTGCTGCTTGGTGGTGGACTATATGCATTTATGATCATTAGTTTATCATCCTCATGGCAGATCTCTAGTGCTATTATGTCAACTTCTTGTGGATTGGCAGTCATTATTTCGTTCACCTTTAGGTGTTCTTTCACCAGCACAGCAACGCCACCGCCTTTCCTAATTTTTCTGTCCCGTGTCCAAATTGAGTAGCCCCTTGGGAATATGACCTCATTTAAAATAACATCTTCAAGTTTTGTCTCCGTGAGTGCAACAATGTCTGGTGTCTGCAGCTGTATTACTGCAGCTGCAGTGTGTGTGTGTGTGTGTGTGTGTGTGTGTGTGTGTGTGTGTGTGTGTGTGTGTGTGTGTGTGTGTGTGTGTGTGTGTGTGTGTGCGCGTGTGTGTGTGCGCGCGTGTGTGTGGGGGTGGGTGGGTGCGTGTGTGAGTGTGTTATGTATATATAATGTTGTTCTAGGGGTATGTTACGTCACGGAGTAGTTTAGTTCATTTATTATGGCCCCAATTTTGTTATTTCCCACCCCCGCAGAGGGCGACGGTGGCTCAGCTGTGGCAGCCGCCTCTAGCTAGCAAACTAGATATTTGGATAAAATTTGTGGTAATAAATCATTCTGAACAACATATTTACACAATGCATATTTGTTATAGAGCTGTCTCTAAGTTCATGAATCATTTTGCACTCCATCACTTATTGACACACTTAATACCTCATGCTCATGTATTGCCTGAACCATTCAATGAAACGTACACTAGTATTTTTGGGAAATGTTTAGCATCTGGCATATTATATTTTGTGTAGTACGTAGGGGGCAGCATGGTCAGGTGTGGGGGTGTTACACACCTGCACCCACTGACCACACAGATCTCTATTGTGCTGCTAATGGCTCGTCTCTCAATAATCATGGCAGCCTTCTCTACACTTATTAAACACTTTACCAGCTCCAAGCTCTTTACAACAACAATGACCTAGGTTTGGGAAGTTTGAGAACTCGTAAGCTATTTAATAAACGAAAACAAAGCTGCCATTATTGTTGAAAGATGTAGAGGTTTCGTAAGCAGGTGTTGATGTCTCGTGGCTGCATGTTAGAGCTCCTGGGACGTGAGTGGCTGCTTGCTCTCTCTGTCATATGTCACCCCTATGGCACCTCTGTGGCAGAGGATGGCAACCCCTTGTTGCTTTGTGCTCTTCTGGACTACTCTTGCTTATGACAACAATTGAGCCAATGGGACGACTTTTTTATTTGTAAAGGGAAAATATAATGTTATCATTGATGAATCTAACATTTATTAGTACCAGAAGTATTGAATTATGTACAGAATGATTCTTATCATTCGTATTGATGCACTAACATTTGAAACTGTATATGGAGGTAGACTCCATACACAGTTTCAAATGTAGACTTGACAGAGGCCAAATAGGCTCGAGAATCTGTACAACAGTTGATTGTTGGTTGAGAGGCAGGACCAAAGAGCCGAAGCTCAACCCCCGCAAGCACAATTAGATTGAAAGTACTACCGCTGCCACAGCCGGGACTGGTGCACCAACTGAGACTGTTACACCAACTGTGACTGGTGCACCAACTGTGACTTGCTCCAAGTGTGACTTGCTCCAACTGAGACTGTTGCACCAACTGAGACTGTTGCACTTGTGTAAACTTGTGTAAAACAAGTGGTGCTTGCACACCTGACATTATCTACTGTGTCTGTTGTTCCTATACTGGCAAAATTTATTTCCAAACAATTTGATACAAAATTCACAGTTTTTTTTTAAATATATTCAAGAGTTTTTACATTCTTGTACAGCCACTAGTACACATAGCATTTCGGGCAGGTCCCTGGAATACGACCCCCATGAAGAATCATTTTTATAACCAAGTACCCATTTTAATATTGAGTTAAACAGAGGCTACAGTTAAGGATTTGTGCCCAGTAAATCCACCCCGGCCAGGATACAAACCCATGACAAGGCGCTCGCGGAATGCTAGGTGAGTGTCTTACCACTACACCACGGAGACTAAGTTCTACACCTAAACCTACAGTTCTAACTATAAGTCGGTTTGCAAGTAGAAAATGATTGTAAACATTTTCAATTTTGCTGAGCAGGCAGCTGAACTTGGTTGTTCACTATGGACAAGAAAGTGGACAACTCTTCTGTTATTCAAAAATGCTAGGATGGTGTGTGTCATTTTACTGTATTGCTGTTGATGCCACATAGGCAATGTTGAATAAACAGTGTTATATATAGGACGGTTGTCCTATATATAAGGTTGTCCAAGCAATTGTGCCAGGCAGCACAGGTGGTGTTCTAACACTTAGAAAATATACATTATCACAAGAATGAAGACTGTTTCCAATTGACTTACATGAGAGAAATACTAGCTGGATGAAGTAAAATGAAGACCCACAGGGCTCATAATAAACAATTACTGGCTGAAACAAAGAACACTAATTGATAGACAGATATGTACATTCTCTGCTAGATACAAAATAAGCACTTTCTGATTTGTTGATTCAAAATTAATACTGTGCTCCATTTGATAATACGTATATACAATATCAGATTGGCTGATTCAAATTAAGCACACTAATTTGTTGATTCAAAATAAATACTCTGACTGTTACCTCTAAATGGCTGACATGCAAAAAACAAAATTAATGACCGAGATCATTTCAACACTGTAATTGGTTAACTGAAAATTAGCATAACAACTTACAGTAAGTGATTGCTAGTGACAAATACTACATTTTTAATTGCTTGAAGCAAAAAAGTCAAGCTTCAATGATTAGCTGAAGCAATAACCAAACTCTGTCATTGGCTAGAAGAAAATACTAAGTATTTTCTGTGAATCGTAGAAATAAAATACACATGCTTTGTGACTAGATGAAGTACAATATACAAACTTTAAGGCTGACTAAAACAGAATATATAAAACTTTGTATTTGGCTGAAACAGAATACATACAGGCATTATGATTGCAACAGAATATGCAAACTTTGCGATTGAAACACAATATACAAACTTTGTAATTGAAACATAATATACAAATTTTGTGACTAAAACAGAATATACACTTCAAAAGGTGACACCCCTAGGGTCAACACTTGCAGCAGAGGAGCTCCAGCATATTTCAACAATCCTAAGTATTGTAGTACAGGTTGATGGTAGTGAGTGGTGTCCCAGAGAACATAAAGGTATAGTGCTCTTGAAAAATAGGTGAGATAACAGGAAAGTGCTAAGGGAAGTGAAAAATCGGATGAGAAAAAGTTGCCCTAGTGTTTACAGTGCAGAGAAGAACATTCAAGATGGCCACTGGCAAGGGGAAAAACAAAACAGAGCTTGATTTTGAGGGATTCAATGAAGAAAGCATTGATATTAGTAGTCTACATAACAAGTTGGTAAATTTAGATACTATAGTGAACTCTCATGTAGAAATAATTAGTAAATTGAAAGAAAGTAATGACCATTTGAATAGCAAAGTTTTATGTCTTGAGGGTTTAGTGAAAGACTTGCGCAAGGATAAGAATCAATTGGAAACAAATTGCAAAGCCATGGAAGAAGAAAATAAACTCTTAAAAATAGCTTTGGAAGAAGTTAAAGTAAATTTAAACATAAATGACTACAATAGGTTAGGCAAGGAAATTCAACAGGAGAAACAGCTTTTGTCAGCACAGATGGAGGAAGTTACACAGGGAATAGAACAGTGCAAGAAAGATATGCAACTCACTTATGCACAAGTGGCCAAGGAGAAGGAAAAAATAGAAGAAGCAGTAAAGGAAGTCAAACACTGCAGCAACCAAGATAAAACAAACATTAGGCTAGAAGTGAGGAAAGAATTGGCATCTAACCCGAAGTTGGTGCAAAACACAGTTGATCGGAGTAAGTCCCTGATCATTTTTGGCTGCAAAGAAAAGGCGATAACATCTAGGTCAGAAAGAGCTGTAGAAGAAGCTAAAGTAGTAGATAAAATTGTTGGCCTCGTGGAAGGTCTTACAAACAGAGAGAATGTGTGCGACTACAGGAGAATAGGCAGGTACGTAAAAGGGAAAGATCGACCTTTGAGGATCACCCTAAACGGTGCCAAACAGATGGAAGAAGTACTAAGGAATGCTAGAAAATTGCAAAGGGATGAGGATGGGAAAGGGTGGTCGTTAAGACGAGATCTTTCAAAAGAAGATAGAGAGAAGCTGAAACTGAACCTCGCCGAGGCAAAACATTTAAATGAGAGCAGGAATGAAGAAGAAATAAATTCTTTTTTCTACAAAGTGATAGGGGTAGGCAAACCAGTAAAGTGGTACATAAAGGCAAACCAACAAAATCAATAGAGAGAGGGGGAGTGAAGAATAAGGAGAGGGGGAACAAGTTCCTGAAGATTGCATACACCAACATAGATGGAGTGAGATCGAAGATACTGGAGTTAAGTGATGTAATACAGCTGCAGACACCAGACATTGTTGCACTCACGGAGACAAAACTTGAAGATGTAATTTTAAATGAGGTCATATTCCCAAGGGGCTACTCAATTTGGAGACGGGACAGAAAAATTAGGAAAGGCGGTGGCGTTGCTGTGCTGGTAAAAGAACACCTAAAGGTGAAGGAAATAATGACTGCCAATCCACAAGAAGTTGACATAATAGCACTAGAGATCTGCTATGAGGATGATAAACTAATGATGATAAATGCATATAGTCCACCGCCAAGCAGCACATGGTCAAAGGAGGAGCTAGATAGTAAACGTGAAGGTCTTATAACAATAATGAGAGAGATTATAGCGAGAGCGGATAACGATAGATCACGACTGTTGATAGTCGGTGACTTCAACTTGAAATCCATAGACTGGGAAGCATATGAAGCTAAAACAGAAGATTTTTGGACCTGTAAATTTGTAGACCTCATCCTGGAAACATTCTTGTATCAACATGTTAAACAAGCTACGAGGATGAGGGAAGGGGACGTTCCCTCCATGCTAGATTTGATATTTACCAGGAAGGAGGAAGAGATATTTGACATTCAGTACCTTCCTCCCTTGGGTAAAAGTGACCATGTCTTTTTGGGAATAAAGTATGCAATGCGTTATAAGCTGGAAGAAAATAAGGAGGTTGAAGCAGTTGAAAAACCAGACTTCAGGAGAGGACATTATGGTGACCTTAGAAATTTTTTTAGTGAGTATAATTGGACAGACTTGATGCTAGGCAAGGAAGTGAATGAGATGTATGGCAAGTTTTGTGAAATATATGATAAAGGCACAAAAAAATTTATACCAAAACAGAGATGCAGAACTAGGAAACAGGATTGGTTCAATAGAAATTGCGAGAGGGCTAGAGACCGAAAGACACAAAAATGGAATCAATACAGGAAGAGGCCGAACCCCCAAACATACCAGCGATACAAAGATGCGAGAAACAACTACACGGCAGTGAGGAGAGAGGCAGAAAGAAATTTTGAAAAAGGGATTGCGGACAAATGTAAAACAGAACCAGGTCTATTCTATAAATTCATAAACAACAAATTGCAGGTAAAGGATAATATTCAGAGGTTGAAAATGGGAAATAGATTCACGGAAGATGAAAAGGAAATGTGTGAAACACTAAACGAAAAGTTCCAAAGTGTGTTTGTACAAAATGAAATCTTTAGGGAACCAGATACAATAAGAATTCCAGAGAACAACATAGAACACATAGAGGTGTCTAGAGACGAAGTGGAAAAAATGCTCAAGGAGCTCGGTAAGAACAAAGCAGCTGGCCCAGATGGCGTTTCACCATGGGTTCTGAGAGAATGTGCATCTGAGCTCAGCATTCCACTTCACCTGATCTTTCAGGCATCCCTGTGTACAGGAATCGTAGCAGACGGGTGGAAACAGGCTAACATAGTTCCAATCTACAAAAGTGGCAGCAGGGAAGACCCCCTCAATTATAGACCTGTATCATTGACAAGTGTAATAGTGAAAGTATTGGAAAAACTAATCAAA